ATTTAATAATATATTATCACACTAATAATATATTATCACGTATTTAATACACATGCACAATATACTTAAATCGGGTGATATCCGTTTGACCACGTCCCGATTGACCACTAGCCATTCACAGCGCTTGAACAGTGGAAAAATTCTAGGCAGCGATCCCTGCGAGTGGTTAGTGATCAATCAGGTGGTCAAACGGGTGTCACTCACTTAATCAATGTATATGCAAAGTAAAACATATCGCTATTGAGGGTGCCGTCACATGCGACGTAACTTGCGTAAGCGTAACTTGCGCCGACCAATCACATCGTTTCACTTGAACATTAGATTCCGCTCAGTTACTTTATGCTATTTACGCTTTTATTGTTTCGCTGAATCTAATTTTTTTGCGAAAGAACACACACAGTGAATAATCAGAATAATCAGAGTTTTTCGGCAAAATGAATAAAGATTAAATCAGGATAAGTTAATTAATATAATAACGATTAATTAAATCATCATATCAAATTAATTAATAATAAATATATATATTAATATATATTAATATATATATTAATTAATTTATGTTTTTCATACGTGGCTCAACAATATCTAACAACTGATTAAACATTTCTGTGGACATTCTACAATAATTGTAGAACATTTCGTAATCTTCAAATTTCATTTCTTTGACCAGATTATCATCCTGTAATAATCTTCATCTTTCTGCGAATATCGGACGCACTCACATTTTATGACGAGCTTTTTTCTGTTGGTACCATCAGTTTCCATATTCCAAACAATTTTAAAATATTATATTGTTTAATTTTCTGTTGTTGAGATTGTTTCATCTTTTTCCACTTTTGCCATCGCTTCCATATTATTAATAATAACAGGTCAGAGTCCATAATGATTTCTAAATACATTCTCACAGATTAGGTTCACATCTACTTGATTTGTTCGTAAACTCGTATATAAAGTCTCGATTTCCTATGAAGCGTACTTTTCCAGATACACAGATTACAAAAACCAATCACAAATTAGTTTAACATTTCTGTTAGAGAGTACAACAGAAATCCTCAGCAATTGGTTGTATTAATTACGCATTTCTCGAAATTTTGCGAAATACGCTGTGAAAGAAGGCTTTCAGAATAGCGTAACGTGTTTAGTAAAATATTAATTTAGTAAAATATTAGAATATGCAGATTACGCTTACATAAGTTACGCCACATGTGACGGCATCCTGAGATGGTGTATATTTCTTTCTCTCTTGTAGGATTTAACCAAAACATGGCGGATCAGAGTCCTGGCCAGTTTTATTGTAGTGTCTCTGGTTACGGTCAATGTAACACTACAAATGCAAAACATTTGATTGTCCAATCAAAATAAAGAATTTTATTAATGTACCAATCAAAAAATGCTTCAAAATATTTGTAATAAGCCCTTGACCCTCTATCTCAGAATACTTAAGGTACTCTATCTCAGAATTATTTCATCTTTGTCATTTATACGCGCGTGCTGTGTGTGTGTGTGT